AAGCCATGCTGATCTGTCTAGATACAGTGTGCAAAACTTTGAACCAATTTTTCGAGTATAATCAACTCAAAAAGTTTGGAGGTAGCACTTAACGAAGCTATTCCACGGTAGTTTGAAACAGTCCTTTTGCAGCTTTCTTGTGGATTGGTAAAACGATAGATTCTTTCCAGCAAGCTGGAAAAACCCCACACATCAAGGAGAGATTGAAAACGTAGGCCAGAGGTGTCGCGAGAGCAGTCAGGCAGCGTTTGAGGACTAACGACGGTACGACATCTGGACCGGAACCCATTGACGTTTTTAGCTGCTTCCCGGATGAAATAACCATTTCGCTGGTGATAGAAAATGGATGACTGGAGAAGGTTGAGGGAGAGACGTTACTAGACGCAGCAATTACATGCTGAGTCGTTCGTTGACAATCCACTTTAACACACCATTTTCTACTCCAGAGTAACTACTGCAAACCTAAGCTTGATTTATTCTGACGTATCTCAGGCTGTTTTCGTAAATAAAGCTTTTTATTGGCAAGTTGGCCGTGAAAAACTAACGGGTGATAACTAAAAATTGAGATTGTTCGTTTCGAGCTGTGAAAAAAAGACATGGGTACAAAAATGAAAACTGATGTACTCCGTTTGAGGCTAAACTACTCTTCATCATAGAAAAAATAATGAACATTTCAATACAGTCTGTCATCACCGGTACGGCGTGGCTACTTCATGATACTAATTTGTCGAATATATCTCTTGATGTTATCAGTTATTTGGATACAATCAAGAGCTCTCGAATGTGTTGGATCACAAACAAGCTAAACATCCAAAATGAGAATCTATTGGACGACTTTAAGTAAATTGCATATAATGTCTTCAACTGTAAAAAAATGCAAAGTTGGCAACACTGGAGAACAAATCACATTTTTGTATTCGGTTTGATTGAAAGTTGAAAGGTTCATATTTTTAGTTACGCTACAGATTCGTCGTTTTTAACGGCTTTCATGAAGTGACCAACTTTCTTTATCGAAGTATTTCGCAGTATCGTTAAACAGGGTAACATTGATCGTTTTTTTTAGAGTATATTCTAAATATTTTTTACATCAATGAATGTTTCTCAAATTTTATTTGTTTAAAACAAATATTGAGGATCCAGAGTCAGTTCGTTAGTAATATGTTTAACGGAAATTATTGCGTTCGCACTGTTTTTTTAGTCTTGTGACCGAACATCAGTATTTTGATTTGGAATTACTTTGATAATGCTCGGTGAATGTAGAAAAACATGCAGGAAACTCAAATAAAATAATTAAAAAAATACGAAACTTTGAATGAGTATATAATCAGAAAACCCCATAGGAAATAAGAACACAACATTGAATTTGTGATGGCTATACAGGAAATACATTTCATAAGTGATGATTTGAGTGCTTTTTCAAACAGGCAAAAAACAAGAAAATTGTTTTTCAATATGTTTGGCCATATACGATATCAAGGGAAATGCCCTAAGATACATTATGGAACCAATGTTTCTTTTTCTGAAAAAGGGCAGAGAGTAAATTAAATCCTTATATTCTACTTTCAAAGTTACCCGCATTATCAACCCGTTTTACAGTAAACGAAAACAAATTAAAACATGTTATCTTTAAAATTCAATATCTCCTAAATGGGAAATGTAGTTTTTTGTCGATAGGTGATTCTTATGTAAAAAATTCACTGAACATTTCAGATCAGATTTGATACTTGCATGAGATATTTGCATTTTAAGTTTTCAAATCGCAAATTTGGCAATACTGGAAAAACAAATCTGATCAAACCAGACCAATTCCACGCCAAATCGGTCAGTCACCAAACTTGACTATCTTCGATCTGGATGATACTTGGCACATATTTTCAGTATGATAGACTAACTAGAACTAATATCAAACTGAACATTTTGCGTAAATAATGAAATTTTCAAAAATGCCTCAAAAGTTGCTCTTAGAAAAACTTTTTTATTGAAAGTTTGTCCATCCTAGAGTTGTTTTCAAAACTTCTGGTTTCTATTTAAGTTTTTATAAAAAAAATATAAAAAAAATAAAAAATAAGTTTTTTTTATTTGAATTTTGAGGTTTATTTTTAATTTTTTTTTGTAACAAAACGAAAAAAAAAAATTCGTGTATATATTTTTTTTTATAAATCCTTATTAGTTTCCTACAACTATTTCTTAGTATTTTTTTTACAACCAACTGTTTTCGAACTACATTTTTTTTTAAATATGTGTGCAAAAACACATAGGCCCTTTTCAAAAATTACCCTTGAGTCAAAAGGGTCTCCTCTCCTGCGGAAAATACTTGGTCTATCAAACTGAAAATACGGGCAAAGTATCATCCAAATCGAAGATGGTCGAGAACGATTTCACGTTTTTTCAGCTCATTCTGGATGGAATCCCTCACCATTCGATTGTACGTCCAAAATCCTTACTTAAACGATCCAATGCCGTCTCCATCTTTAATGGTTGCAAAGATATATTACATTTAAAACTGGTGTTTATTAGAAATTGGAAAAAAAGGGGTGGTCTTCACCGGCAGGGGGTAGACCAATTGGCTTAAGACTATGGATTTTTCAACATTAGTCCATAATAAATGTTTCCACCAAGTTTGATTTAAATCTTACACTCTCAAATCTCATTCATTGAGTCTTCCTGCGAGAATAAACTCGCGTGCGAATGTGGCAAGCAATATTCATGCTTGAGATTCTCATGCATATTTACGCACTCACACTCACAACGCCGAAAAATCATTCCAGCTTTAAACTCATAAAAACCACTCAAAGGCCAATTGATATCATGCTTATGCATGTTGTATTAGTTTTCCAACCCCTGCTGCACAAACAAGAGTAATAACAATTAATAGCGCCGACATATACAGAAATTAATTTTCGAACCTGAAAACTCAGCGGTGATATTTGCGACATTGAATTTTGGCAGACAAAACTCATAGGCGCATAAACTCATGCATGAGATTTGAGTTTTTGAGTTTTTCCAAACACTGTGGAGAAGATCGATGCAATTTATGTATTATCCCAAGTAACAATTCAGCAACCATTTGGCATCCACTCTAATTAATGATGGTTTTATAATGGCAATGAACAATCCATTTAGTTTAAATACAGCATTCCAAAGTGTAAACCATTGCTGTTTAGTAATTCAGCTTTTTGCTGTTTCGAAAACCTTTTATAATCTGGGGAGAAAGTCGACGATTGCCTGGTTTTAAAATAAATTTAAATCAGTTCTCAATCCCTCCATAAAACTGTTTTGTAATTCAATCATAAACTTCATCAGCAATTGTTTATTAATGTCTTGATCACACACTCTATAAAAGTGTTCTAAAATTTTAAAAGCAACAATAATATCATTGGGTTTTAAATGAGAGCAGAAGGCACATTTTAATGCTTTTAAGTCTTTTTAAAGTGTATTATAAAATCCACAATTACTCTGTTTACAAATTGAACTTAAAAGATATGGATCCTCATAGTGAATGAAACTAAAATTTATGACAAGGAAATCTCGAAAGATAGACGAAGTGGGATGACAAATTCAAGCGATTCTAACGATCGAAGGGAAATCGATTTCAGCAAAATTTACTTCTTTAGAAGAACCAGCACTACCGGCTGAACCGGTACCAATAGGTGACGATCGGAATTACTTGGATCAGTACTGACAGCAAACTACCAAGCTGCCAGTTAGCAGAGATTAGCTGATTTTCAATCCATGGCAGCGATTTTATTCGGCGAAAGGGTTCAACTCATCAAACATTTCTTCAAGCGTACATTTCTGCGTCGTTTGGTGGTGCACTTTGGAAACCATCCGGAAGAAGGGGATCTTCTTCGGGAACAAGCTGTTCGAAATGCTAAATATAATACAACAGTATCGCACACTTTCTGAGTAACTGCTTCCAATCCATTGCCTGAAAGAACGATGGATCGCACTGTGAGACTATAGAGAGATGAACAAACTTTGACGTTGAAATTTTTGCCGGCAGCCTTGCCTCCATAAATGCTGGCATAAATCTGAACGGGTCAGGCCAAAACAAAAGCAAAATGGCTATTGATAAATACAATTCAGTCTACATGTTTTCTTCATAAAAGCCTTTTTAAAACCTTTTGAATTTGTTAGGGACTTCTTGAAAGCAAATCAACTTTTTCACAAATGGTCCATGAAAATCAACCGCCATATTAAAATTATTTTGTTAGTTTTTCACAATCTACATTTTTCAATCTACATTTTCTTGGATATAGCTTTATTTTGGTTAATTTAGCAATAAGCAAATATTTAAATAAAAATCTTGTCTCAGCTAGATGATCGGTCTTTCGAATAATTTTGTTTTTACTTAAATTTAAAATAATTAGTAAAATCGACGTTTTCCGATGGCGGACTATTTTTTTTTCGGTGTTATCACGTACATTTCACATGAGATGTAATATGGCCACTTTATGAGAACTATATAAATAATTTTGGTAATTCAACAGGATGTTTATGCGATCAGTTTTTGTTTTAGTTATTTTGATAAGATCGGATGGTAATTATGAATTCTTTTCCATCTTGATTAATGCTTTTCTAGTGGATTTAGCAAGCAGCTAGGGAAAACGGCTCAAGAAAGGTTTTTATTGTTACCAAATAGCTTTTATCGTAGTTTAAATACGGTTTTCAAATGGTTCTCAATGCGTTCGTCATATAACCTTCTTGCAGTAAATCAATCTTGAAGAGCTTCGAGAAAACATCTCTCAGAACCTTCTCCAGGGTGGGCCAACTAGACAGATTCTAGTCTTAATGAGGTTTTGGGGGATGCATCAATGGCAGAACAGCCTTGGCCAGGGTTTTATGAATGTTGTTTTATTGTAGCTTTGTAGTATTTAATAAAACTTAAAATGTTACTTGGGATATGTATGCATATATTGATTAAACTAACTACCAACTATACTTTTCATGCAGACGGATTATTATTAACAAGGCGCATTTTTCCTTCCCCTTCTTTCCAGGGCCTTCGTGGACAACACGTACCTCCAGATCCTATCACTGGATGACAATCCCTCGTTCAGCGATGTCCCACTACGGCTGTTCTACGGAAATCCCAACCTGATAGACGTGTCGATGCGGGGAAATGCTCTGCTCACTCTGGATGCGGTTCAGTTTCCGCTGGATCGATTGCAGCGATTGAAGCTGGCCGGCAATCCACTCGTTTGTAATTGCTCAATTCGGTGGCTTTGGCGGCTCGTTACCGGTACGGTTGATGAAGACGACAGCGATGGAATCGGGATCGTTGGCCGGAGTGGAGACAGTTTGACGAATATTACCACGGTGCTCATGATCGATAAGGACGAGATTGGGTGTGATTTGAATGAGGATGGGATGGTTACCCGAAGGATCTTAAGAAATATGTCCGAAGGGGACATAAATTGTCCGGCCCACTTGGTAACGGTAGTCAGTGTGATAGCTAGTATTGTAATTGTTCTTCTTGTTGCGTTTGTTGTGATATTCTACCGCAGAAAGCTAAGACAGCGAAAGAAAATCCTTCAAGAAAGAAAAAACGTTCACGAAAGGATAGTCCCTCAGAAGGTAGACAAACTTGAACTGGAGCGCTATCTGGCTCAGCAAGTACTAGCGAACGACTACCGGGAGCTTAGACCTTGTGATGCTCCTATTCGGTACGACACAAAATCTTCAACGCAACCCCTCCAAACTCCCGATCCGGAAGAATCCGATCATTACGAGAACATTGATTACCTCCAGCATCAGCGAGCTTTGAACCATCACAACCATCCGTACCACCAAAACCAACATGCTCATCCATACCATCAGCAATCCCAGAACATCCCAGCGATGACCCTTCAACACCCCAGTCCCTATCCTCAGAAGTACCCCTCGTTACACCAAACGGCGAACAATACCCTTCCAGTGCCTCCACAGCAGCAGCGAAATGCTCAAAACCACTCCTACTCACCGAACTTTTTCATCTACGTGCTTTATTCACACTTCATCTTCTTGTTATTGATATTATGATGAACTACAGTAACCAACCGGTCCGAATCTTTCACCCGACGCTCAAAACGCTGTGTAAGAATTTTTCTAGCTGGAAGTTTTGTTCATTAGGTCAAATAAAGTCGTTCACGTTCTTCTTTTCACACTCGTACATACATTAAATGTTGACAGATAAAAAAAAAACACCAACGCTGCATACAATCATTCAAATCCATACACGAAGAGATCGTTTAATTCATATATTCATCGCTAGCAAAAAAACAACAAACTTGAAGTAAAAGACAACTCTTATTCATAAATGATATACATACAACAAGACAAAAGCGAAAGCTAACAACAGAACAGTAGCAAAGAAAACGGAGAGGATATAATCTATTTTGTACAGGCATTTTTCATATTTATAAGTCGGAACTTCAATCAAATTGTATGTACATTCAGATGCAATAATAACTTAGTCTAGGTATAATGCCCCTTCGTTGCGACCAACTGAAGCAGCTCGTTTTTTGTTGGCTCCTTTCGTTTTCCCTATTTGTTTTGCCATACTAGCGTCATAAGTCTATCATTTCCCTTCTCGAACTAAGCAATCGTTATCCGTACTTACATACAGAACATTAACAAACAAAATGAGGGAAACACAATACGCAAGAGTCAACTAATGGATAGGTTTAATACATTTTTGATGGAATTTTCATTCTTGAGAGGTGAAAACTAATCTGAATATGGGAAATTTCATAAATTGTGCGAAGGAGTTAAGACAAAAGCAAAACAACAATTTGCCATACGATTCATATTTTCTACCAAGAACACTTACTCTAGTACACCGGAAGCATAAAAGACAAAATAGGCGAAAGCAACCACTGCAACATACAGTTAAGGTTTAATAGCTAAAACTCTTGAAGATAGTGAAACATGAATTGTTGCTTCATTTTGGCGAGAAAACGCAGGGAAAGATGGTAGTCCCGGAATTCGAAGAAAGGAATATTTAACGAAGGATTCTAGATTATGCTAAAGTGAAGTAATTGTAAGAAACAAACGAGGAAAAAAATACACACTTACTCTGTTCGAATATAAGTTGTTATAAGACTGAAGACTATTGCGCAAAATAAAGAATGAAATATTGAAGCTGGAGTAGTGTTCTGTGTGCAGAGTTTGAAAGAAATCACATTTATCATTGGTTACATGTTTCCTATTCATCTTATAAGGTCTGCATCCACATGATTCCTTGTTTTTTTTTCAGAAAGCTTCCGCTTCATCAGAGCCTAATATCACTCGATAGGACGTAACTCTGGGAAATTTGGCGGATTTGTGGTTTTGGTACAATATTATCCTGATTTGCTACGTCCCTCTCCTTGACTAGTTTTTGCATCTTGTCGCTGGCAGGTGGGTTTAATTTCATGCTTTATAGTGGAGTGTTGGAGACGGTAGGTTTATGGCCGGCGTTGCTGGCTCATGTCGCGATAGAATGGCGCCATGGGCAGGCGATGGGGATTACTAAGCTTCCCCTCTCTGATGAACCACTGCATGAGAGAACCAAAGATCTAGTCTAGCAGTGATAGTATCATACTTTTTTGACGTAGGACTACGTCTTTAATTTCTATACTAAGGTGTCACATAAAAAAAAACACAAAATTCAAACATGTAACGAAAAATCCCAAACACGGACGCAACGGTAGAGCGCAAATCGAACAAACCGCACATAGCGCATGCTCACAAGAGCGAGCTCAATGCTCGGTTGATCGCTCACTATTTCACCAATGAAAGGAAGGGAGGAAAAAAGCAGCGATAATAAAAACGCTTGCCAAATTGTTTTCTTCGTCATAGTTAGGTAGGTTATCACTTTTTTCAATTCAAATAAAACAAATTCCTAAAGGAGTATTCTGTAAACTAGACAAAAATGCAAATATTAAATTATAATATCAAATTAAACAAAGATGAAGAGCCAGATAGGCTAACCAATTAATGTGATAAATCAATGTACTACCATAGTCAACAGAAATAAACATAATTATACTACTTTTACTACGTTTTCTTCGTCATTTGCTTTCGAGCAACGGACGGATAAGCGTGGGACACGACGTATGAGTGGAACAGCACGCATCGCACCAATACGAAGATGACGCAGTGTTGCCAAATTATTTCCATATTCAATCTGTATATTCACCGTAAAAATCCTATCAATCTGTTTCTGGCTGACAAAAATCTTTAAAATAATCTGTATAAATTCTCTGGTATGATGTTATTGCGGATCGTCGTAAATAAACTTTGAGTTCATTTGAAGTTCAGTAATAGTTTGTTCATAGTTTAGTATCTTGAAGAATGACTTAAGTTTGCTTTCTAAAGAATTAATCTATTGAAAATGGAAAATATGCATTAAAATTTTATGAAGTATTAGTTGTTAAATGTTATGCTCAATGTTTTTTTTTCAAATTCTTCTAATCAAAACAAATTTCAACTTTATCTTATCATTTGGCAGATCAAAAGGATATTGAATTCGCTAGCTGTTGCTCGAACGTATATACCTAAGTGAACTCAGTACATATTGTTTTTTTTTGTGAAAAGCTTTGGAATGGTTTCATCTGTAATTCTCTATTTGCAATCGTGTTCATATGTTTTATCAACTTTATTGCATTTTGTCACAACACATAACTATTATATGGATGTTTAGTGGAACTGCATAGAATATTCTTTATTTCTGATACTACGCTAGTCAAATGTCAAAATATCCAGTTGACTGTTCGACTCACAAACTGTAATCAATCAGCTTGTGGGTTGTTAAAACGGCTTGTTTACCGATTCAACAAATAAAATAAATAATCATAGTACCTGTTACCATGTGATATGGTTAATAATACAATAATAAGGAAAAAAACTAACATCCCTTCTAACGAGCAATCAGAAATAAGAACATCTGAGCATCATAAATCCAACAAAATTAACGAAGATAATAAAATAAAAAGTGAAAAATTGGGATTTGTTTAGGTGCTCGTACCTACTCAAAAGGAAGACATGATTATTTATGGATATTAATAAATATAATCTAGAGTTAAACATATATTCCACTTATTAAAAAAACTGTATATTAAAAGAAATGTTATCTGTATATACAGATATCTGTATCAAAATGTTGAGATAAATCTATATATGTGGCATCATTGAGACGACGATGAAAGCACCCACATCGACTGGATGAAAGACTTCCCGCAGTAGGAAACATGACTCGGCCGCCATCATCTGGTCGGCATCGACTTGCACTGGTGTGACCACAATTTTAAAAACAACCGGCCCTTTTCAGGCCACCAATTCAAAAATGGAAAGAGTTAAGAACTAAATGATCAACATATTTGTTCCGTCCACTAGCGGTCCGATGTCAAACTTCCGTTCGTACCCCTAGGGACAGACCCTTCTACTTTTTTTTTAATAATTACTTTATTTGCACAGGCTCAATCGAATAAACTTTACAGAGCCGAGTTATCATTTTCGTTTAACATTATTAATGCCTTAAATTTAAAGTTAAAGGAACTGGACCGAATACTCGCGGTTGTCTCGAGGCTAGTGACAATTTTTTGGATGGGTAAAGGGTGAAGGAGGTTTGAAATATGGTTTACGATACAAAAATTTAATTAATCCTAAAACATGACTAACCTTACCAATCAGGCAAGGGCTTGTTGTCCTCTGCTGTCCGAAGAAGTCGTCTCCACTCTACTCGATCCATGGCCACAGTTCGCCAGCCTCGTAGTCTGCAGGTCACCTTCTATTTGGTCGATCCACCTCGCCTGCTGCGCGTCTCTTCTTCTTGTTCCTGTTGGGTCGATTTCTAGAACCATTTTCACTGGGTCGTCGTGCGGCATTCTTACGACGTGCCCAGCCCACTGTAGTCGCCCAATTTTTGCAATGTGGACGATGGATGGTTCTCCCAGCAGCTGGTGCATTTAGTTGTTTATTTGCCTCCTCCACGTTCCGTCATCCATCTGCACTCCACCGTAGATGGTACGCAACACCTTCCGTTCGAAAACGCCAAGGGCGCGTTGGTCCTCCACGAGCATAGTCCAGGTCTCGTGGCCGTAGAGGACCACCGGGCTACTCAGCGTCTTGTAGACAGTCAACTTCGTGCGGCGGCGAATTTTATTCGACCGGAGCGTCCTCTGAAGTCCAAAGTAGGCACGATTCCCTGCCATAATGCGTCTTTGAATTTCTCTGCTGGTATCATTTTCGGCGGTCACCAGTGAGCCCAAATACACGAACTCATCGACCACCTCGATTTCGTCACCGTCAATCTGAACTCGGGGTGGGAGGCTTACATTGTCTTCCCTAGAATCTCTTGCTTCCATGTATTTTGTCTTTGATGCGTTGATGGCAAGTCCAATCCATCTAGCTTCAGCCTTCAGTCTGATGTACGTTTCCGCCATCATCTCAAAGTTCCGTGCCATAATGTCAATGTCATCGGCGAAGCCAAGGAGCTGGATGGACTTCCTGAATATCGTGCCACTCGTGTCTATCCCAGCTCTTCTGATCACACCTTCTAACGCGATGTTGAACAGCAGACACGAAAGTCCATCACCTTGTCGTAGCCCCCTTCGAGATTCAATGGGACTCGAGAGTGTTCCCGATACTCGAACAACGCACATCACTCGATCTATCGTCGCCTTGATCAATCGCGTCAGTTTATCCGGAAATCCTTACTTGTGAATAATATGCCATAGCTGATCTCGATCGATTGTGCCGTATGCGGATTTGAAATCGATGAACAAATGATGTGTGGGTACGTTGTATTCGCGGCATTTCTGCAGAACCTGCCGAATCGCGAAAATTTGGTCCGTGGTAGCGCGGGCACCCATGAATCCCGCCTGGTATTGCCCCACGAACTCTCTTGCATATGGTGACAGACGGCGGCATAGAATTTGGGAGAGTACCTTGTAGGCGGCGCTCAGCAGTGTGATCGCGCGGTAGTTGCAGCAATCCAACTTGTCGCCCTTTTTGTAGATTGGGCATACGACACCTTCCATCCACTCCTCCGGTAATATCTCCTCCTCCCAAATATTGGCAATTACCCAGTACAGCGCTCTAGCCAATGCTTCACCACCGTATTTTAATCCTAAAACATGAACTTATTTCTATTCATGTTGAAAACAAACATAAAAAACCTACACGTACAAAATACAAAATAAACACAAGGTTAATAAAACTTACAATCTAATGTTAATATTCTTAAAGTAAACATATATGAGTTTCATAAACTCCAGATCGCGTCTAGCCAAAATATCCCGAACTGGAACATTAGGTTGTCTACCTCGAGCCCGAAGGGAATCGTACAGTTCAGATCTGACTCCGCGATGCTCAGCACAAGACCAAATAATGTGATCTGCGTCTTGGTAACCTTGTCCACATTCACAGAGATTGCTGTCCCCCAGCCCAACACGGAACAAGTGAGCGTTTAACGAGTAGTGATTGGGCATGAGGCGAGACATCAGATGTATGAAGTCTCGACCCACCTCCAACCCCTTGAACTATGGACTTTTCGAAACTTTAGGGATGATCGAATATAGCCATCGTCCCAAACTCCCTTCACTCCATCTATTCTCCATCTATTGTAGGCGCAATAATTTCCACACGAAAGGAGCGCGAGTGAGAGCTCCAGCATTGTCTACTGATTTCGTCGTTTCGTGAGGAATCATATGTTCCGGCACGGAATCAGGACATACTTTTCGCGCGAACTTGAAAATCCAACGATCCGAGTACTCCTCGCTCTCGTTAGGCATCCTTCGCGCCACGTTCCAAAGCGTATTCGTCGACGTTTTGCGCGATAATCCGTCCACGAATTGCCTCCAGTATCCGCGTTTCTTGGCTTTGATAAGGCTCTTGAGTTCACGTTCAAGAGCCGCGTACGCTTCGAAATGTACGGGTGTGCCACGTCGGACTTTGTACGATAAACCTCAGTGCATTGCTGGTCCCACCAAGGGGAAGGAGGTTTCCTCCGGAAAGATGTTCCTGGGACCGCTCAAAGCGCGCTGTCCAAGCTCAGATTGGAAAGGAAGCTAAAGGGTGATACGGTCAAAATTTGGTCAATATCAACTTGACGTATTTCTTTCAATTTTGCATTTAAAAAACCTGAACACCCCTCATTT